ATGTTTGATGAAGAAATCAGATAGCAAGATTACATATAGGCTAGGATGACTACAACTATGTCAATTTATGCACAGTATAATAACTGAGGCAAACATTAAATAGATTCCTTTGATTTCAGGTTTATAACTGACTTTTTTCTTTCATATTTTCATTATTCCTCCACATAGTTCATAACATTTGATATTAAAAGGTATGTCTTCTAAAATGAAATTCTTTTAGTTACCTTTTTCTTATCCTCCCTTTCCCCTTACTTTCATTATTCTTCCTTTTGTATGTTAGCAGCACACCATTTAAGAGTCTGATCTTTGGATTCCAAAAGAATTTAGATCCCATCTCAGCCACTTTCTGACCATACCTAACCTCATAGCTTTCTACATACCTAACCTCATAGCTTTCCAAATCTATAGAAATTAACATTATAGGCGCATGTGCATCTCTGGTTGTTGGGAAAATTAAATGAGATAATAGAAATAAATCTCCCCATATTGCACCTGCCACACAGTCATTGCCTGGTAAATGGGTAAATGAGACCTGACCCCCATGGACCCGCTTGCCTGTCACACTCCCTGCTGTGTCCTCTCTTTGGAGAAGTTCAGTATTAACAGAGGCAGGAGGCACACCCAGCATTACCCAACCAAAGCTAACATGTGTGTACTCTTTCCTGACACATTGACCTGTGTGAAAAGATCTTCCCAAGCTCCAGGAAGCAGTGTTCAGTTCCTGAAATGTTTCCCCCAAATACCAGGACAGCATCCGTGTTACAAACACAGAGGAAACCACCTGACCACAAGTTATCATCAGGAAAACATCGGTATCTCTATTTCCTCAAAGCTGAACTAATGTGACCATCAAGTTGCTCTCTGTGGGGATGACGGGTGGGCCAATGTCATTCTCTAGATCTCAATAAAACATTCTTTTCCTAGTTTCTCCATTTTTTCAAAGTTTACAGCATTTGCTAATGAGCTTTCTGCTTGTGACTTCTCTATGCAAACATTGCAAGGCTTTGAACATGAACATTTGAGATAAAATACCAAACCTTGCTGTTCAAGATTCCTTTGTTATGTTTTCAAGGCATAACCTTGGGCATGTATTGTGTTTGTCTGAATATTTTACTACATATATTTATATGTGAATCATGTTACTATGAACTCAGAAGAACATGTGATATTTCACACATGTTTGAATAATTTTGTGGAATTCACCAATGCTTAAAAGATAAAAAGAGAATCAGCATAGGAAAACCAAATCTTTCAAAAATGGTCTCTGGATTAGGTTTCTCCAGAAAAACCAAAAGGTGTGTGTGTGTGTGTGTGTGTATAAAAGAGATTTATTATAATAAATTCACTCACACAATTATAGAGGCAAAGAAGTCCCAGTATCTGCAGTTGGCACGTTGGAAACCCAGGAGAGCCAATGATGTAGTTCCAGTCAGAGCCTAAAGCTCGTAAGCTGGAGGGCTGATGGTGTAAGTTCTACTCAGAAAGCCAACAAACTTAAAATCTGAGAAGAGCTGATATTTCAATTCCAGTCTGAAGGCAGGAAAAGGCCACTGTCTCAACCCGGGCAGTTGGGCTGGAATTCTCTTTTATTCACGGAAGGTCAGCCTTTTGGTTCTATTCAGGACTTGGACTGGAGGAGATCCACCCACATTTGGCGTGGCAATTGCTTTATTCAGTACACAAACTCAAATGTTTAAATACATCCAGAAATACCCTCACAGGCCAACCACAGAT